TGTAGTAAAAATGTTGCGAAGAAAGATGAGAGTGTCAGGCAGAATTGTCAACTATTGATTCAGAGCAATCATAGATAATGAATGTAACAATGATTCTTTCTATGTCGTGCAGCAATTTAACATTTTACTGCATTCCTGCATTAAAGAGTCAATTTAAAGTTGTTTCGAAAAAATGAACGCGAACGATTAGATATTGAGGGTTTTCTGATATGTAATAAGCTTTAAAACATTCAAATTATATATAGTCTTATAGCAACCAATACTGCAGCTTAATTACTGTCTTACTTGTCAGCAGAACGATCAATTGACAAATTCACTGAGTAAATCAACATGAAACGGAATATGGATCGAAAGAATTTTTTATGATTTTTTTCTATAATTTCTGATCTTTTATTTGTTTCTATAACACATTGGCAAACCAGAAGAAAGTGACAAAAAGTTCACCGCAAGTTAACGTCTGAAGCGTGTTTTAATAAACTGGACAAAGGAATGTTTAATATTTAAGCATGTGTTAGTTTGCCAAATTGGTTGGATGTTGGCAACTAAATAATTTCTCAGGATTCGGAACTTCCGGTCATTCAGTTTACTGGGCATCACAACGTTTCGATTTTAAACTGTGCAGAACTATTCTATCTTTATATTATTTTGTTGTTATTATGTTACGTTTAAAATTCAGCGTTATTTCAGAAGCCTTAGCTTCTAATCTCGCATGGAATAAAGTTTAAGCACAGTTGTGCAATGTAAACTTACGTCATGACTTAAACGTCAAAATCCGTAGAGAATCATTAATCTGATTTCTGGAAGTTGAAATAGATTTGTTCACATAATGATTTATTTCAAAAGTTTAAAACATTAAATTATTCTCAAAATAGCCAAGTTTAGCTTTCTAAGACCAACCGCTGGGTTTAGACGTCTCTGCAGGGTCCAGATATCTGGTCCAGTTCAGGTTTCTGAGAAAGCGCTGGGTTTACACGTCTCTGCAGGGTCCAGATATCTGGTCCAGTTCGGGTTTCTGAGAAAGTCATTCTTTAGGTTAGTGCATAGCTGCTACTTCTCCATACTAAATCGTCACAGCTGTGGTGGATAAGGCATTTTTTGGGAATGCCTCCGGAACGGAAGGCAAATGAACAACTAGTTGTTTTACCGACTGGCCAATGACCCGGAGAAGGTCAAGAATAAGCTGAAGCAAGTGTGTTGACTTGTTGCTGACCCGGATTATCGTCTGTGCTACGCACAAATCTTGGAGTAAGCGAGCTAAGGTTAGAGACGCCGTCTGACACTGATGACTCTGTGGTTGGAACGGGTAAGCGATTATAGATACTGAAATGAGCCATGGTATAAACACCAAATCACCTCAGTCACCACTGTATGTCGGATAATGCATAAATGATCCAGATTTTTGGCGAATTGCACCGCTCTTTTGCTCGTAGTTGCCCATGGAGCTACAGCTCAAGTGTACTTTAGCAAATGCACTGAAAGATGTAGATCATTTGCTTCTCTAAGGCGACCCCGCACTCATTAAGAACTATGATTTCAAAGCTTCTCTCTTTACATGATGGCGCATAAACATCCGATTATGTTCGCACAGTATGAAGTTTTTATGAAAAGCCCTAATTATCCAATGCTATGAAAGCATCAGCCGGGATATAGGCTATAGGGAGAGAAAAGAGCAGGTGGCGGA